AACAACAGAAATTTATTTCTCACAGTTTAGGAGGGACCGCCTGGGAGGGAGCGGAAAAGCAGGTGCTCTGGGATCCCAGCGGCCCAGCGAGCGTCCGGGCCTGCCAACAGCCCGGCCAGGGCGGCCACATTTCCTGGCTCCAAACTCTGCTTCCTAACGTCTGGGCACACGTTAGCGAGTGGGCATTTCCACCGTAAAGCCAGGGGACTTGAATAGCGCGTGGTGTGCAGCCAGCGGTCCTCGCAGCACCGTGCGCGCGGGGCAGCCTGACTGCGCGCGGGAAAGCCCGTGCTGTACACTTTCCGGGACACGGGTCCCCCGAGACACAGAGGCCCCTCAGGAGCGAGGAGATGAGACCAAAGAAGCATCTTTCTTTCCGCTGCATTTTATAATGGGATTTACCTGCCCCGGGAAAATGCCACTTTGCTTCACTGAAGAGGCAATTAATGAACGTGAAGGAAAGGATAAATAAAATATAAACGGTGCTCTGCTTTCTGTTAAAGCAGATTTCCCAAAAGAAACCCTGCTTAATGATATCTTAGAAATAACTTCTTTAATAAAGCACTTGCCTAACTTTTCATATACATTTTCTTCCCTCTTTCTCTCCAGATATATTTTCTGCATCTCACTCTTTTTGTTAACCAAAAATTATCCTGGAAATTTCATTTTATTTTATGTTTTCTTTTAATAATTTTATTTATTTATTTTTCCCCCAAAGCCCCAGTAGATAGTTGTATGTCATAGTTGCACATCCTTCTAGTTGCTGTATGTGGGACACGGCCTCAGCATGGCTAGAGAAGCGGTGCGTCCCTGTGCACCCGGCATGCCAACCCGGCCGCCAGCAGGGGAGCGCGCACACTTAACCGCTAAGCCACAGCGCCGGCCCTATTTTATGTTCTTAAATCATTTAAACTATTATGGTTTTTATGACAAACTGGGAATATAAAGTTTTTTCTATCTGTGAATCTAAGATTTCTAGTTAATTTCAGAGACTAATTTTTTTCTTTTATCATACAAAGACTTCTCAGGAATTTCTTTTACTCTTCAGAGAGGAAAAATAACAAAAGTAAAAAAAAACTTTACTGTAAAAGTAGTAAAACAATAAAATAGCCAAATTTTATCACAGGTAAGGTTTGGCCAATGTAGAATGTAATCTTTTTTCGTTGTCTGAGGAAAACACACTCTAAGGTCAAAAAGAAATACTTTCTTTGTGATGATTTATCAAATAAATCTCAGGATTGGAAATTTATTTTTGTTTTCCTCTTTAGGTAAGTCTCTCTTACTTTTGCAATTTAAATAAATAATATATACTTTTTCATTTTTTATATTTTTAGTTCTTGGTAGTTACTGCTAAATAACTTTGTCAGCAAATTATACCCTCAGCCTTTTACCTGCGTTGTAGGTTTTACTAGCAGCTTTGTACTATCTCATTCATGTAATTTATCCCTGGCTTCTTCCCTAAGGCTGTCTGTCTGCTTTATGGAATGCCTTTAAGCTAGAGACTTATTCTGTAATGCCATAAGAATCTGGAATTGTTCCAGAAAAATGTAAAGGAAAATGATTCACTGACAAGTTCATTTTCAGGAATAAAATATGAAATAAAGTAACACAGAAAGTAGAAGAAGATGACCTCCAGATTAAGAGGATTAAAAATATAATGCCAAATGTCTGCTCAAACACCATTTTTCCCTACTCCCCTTCTCCTTATACCTAGACAAAACCAAAACCAAAAACCAAAAATAAAAAGTTGAGGGTCTGTGCTCAGGAGGTTTGGGTCCAGTTCTGATTCTATGATCTCTGATAAATTGCCTCAGCATCATCTCAAACATAGATACTAAACCTTCTCAGATTGCTGTGGGATGTTTATAGAAACCAGGTGATGTGTGTAAATTGAGCACCAAGTGAATGCTACATATCTATTCGTGTCCTAATGTTCATCCCCCTCCCACTCCATAATTTAAGCCTAAAACCAAGTAAAAGACAAACTCATTTTTAATGGTGTGCAAAGTGGGGAAAGCACAAAGAAAAAGGTGAAGAAAACCACATATAAGTGAGTACCACTTTAACACCGAACATAAGAGGGAGCTTGTCTCTGGTAAGTAACACTGAAAGAAACACTGAAAGAAACTCACAATCTCAAGTTAAAGCTTGCATTGTCTTAAAAACATCAAGATAAGGCTCCCCTAGCAGGCCCTTGCAAAGGAAGCAGTTCCTGCTGGGACCGGCTAAGTCAGGGGGACACTGACATCTAAAGCAATGAAGTTCACGTCCTTACTGGAAACTGGGTGCAGTCAAATGTAACAATTAGTCACTTTGTTTTCCATGTCTTGTCAATGTTTGGAGAACAGAAATCATCCCAGCGATCATGTGGGTGAATATGGGAAGTAATCAAATGCACCTTAAAAGACACCCTTTCTTCGGAAGTGTTGCCTTTGGAAGCTGTCCAAGACCGGTAAAACTACAGAGGGAACGGAGGCCTCTCTGCTCATCGGATTCCAGATGCAGTAATTTTAAAGGACATCCACATACATGATCTCATTCCACCTTGCGTAGCTGTGGGGTAAATACTGGAACCCCCATTTTGCAGATGACAGAGATTAGACATGTAACTAATTAGTGACGAAACGGGACTAGAACTAAAATTATTCTTTCCAAAACACTGCAGAGTTCTTCCCGTTACTTAAGTCTTGGTGGTGGTTGTGGTGAGATGGTAATGGAAAGAAAAGGCAAGTAAGATTAAGTGCTAAATACTATAACCGGTGTATGTGGAAATAAAATAATAATAATTTCCCAAAAATTTGGATACAGTTAGAATGTAAATGGATGGGGATGCCAGGATGCCATGAGGGATGTAGAGGGAATGTCTTAAGGTTGACAAACAAAACAATTGATTCTTAGCATTTGTCAGAGGAAGAATACTGCATGGATATCAACATCATATTTTGTTGACTACCAGTCACCTTTGATTGTAAGATTCACCATTATTTTATGTAATACTAAGATATAGTACATAAGACATAAGAAAAAAGCACTGTCAATTAAACTATGGTGCATACTTATACCTGGATTGCAGAATTGTCTTAGTCCATTTGGGCTGCTATAACAAGATTCCATAAACTTGGTGGCTTATAAACAACAGAAATTTATTTCTCACAGTTTAGGAGGCCGGGAAGTCCACGATCAAGGCACTGGTAGATTCAGTGTGAGGTGAGGGCCTGCTTTCTGGTTTATACACAGTGTCTTCTAGCTGTAACCTCACATGGCGGAAGGGGCTAGGGAACTCCGTGGGGTCTCTTTTATAAGGGCACTAATCTCATTTATAAGGGCTCCACCCTCATGACCTAAGCACCTCTCAAAGGCCCCACTTTCCTGTACCATCACCTTGGGTGTTAGGTTCCAGCATACGAATTTTAGGGGAGACATAAACATTCAGAATCTCTTTTTCAGATATGTTAAAATATGAGAAAATGTGCATCTTAGAATTAATGAAAAATTGAAAGACATAGCATTGTCATCACTTTACATTTTATAACAAGCTTTTCGGATAATCATCTGAAGCAGATATTGTTAATTCTCTCATTTCGTTGAAGGGGAGGTTCAGAGGGGCTGGATGACCTCACCAGGATTCCCTGGGCTCAGCCCTCTTTTCAGAGCCAGCGCTGATCATCTGGTTGCAGTCATTCCCTTCCTGTGGGTCAGATGCTACTCCAGGCTGAGGACCAAAAATGGGTGAAAAATGGTCCTTCTCTAAGGGGACTGAGATCCAGTGGAGACACGAGACACATAAACAGCCATTGCAGCCTGTTGTGATGGGTGCTATTGGAAAAGGGGTGGTGGGGGATGTCTGAGATCCTGGCACTGGAGCTGGGCAGATAAGGGGGAGACTGAATTATAAAGAACCCCTAGTTATAAAGACTAGGATAGTTATGACAGTCCTAGTTATAAGACTAGGATTGGGTCACTGTTAGTCCCTTTACTTTCTTCCTGGTAAGTGCAGATTTAGCCACCAGGAAAAGCTCAAATACTTTTTGGGAAGACCCTGCCTTGATAGGCTGATACCTTTTCCTTTAATGCCAGAGGCGCAGGCAAGTATCCAAAGGTGCTTGTTGAAGACTGGTGAGTATAATGTACCTTGAGAAATTCTTCCCCCACCACGTTAAAGCAAGCATTCGAGGACACCACGGTGTATGCTGCCAGTTTTGTATCTTTGACCGTATCAATTAAATAAATGTGGAGTAGATATGGAGGTGGTAAAGTAAATTCATTGGTTGACAATGAAACATTCATTCTTCCCTTCTCCTTTTTCTAACAGCCTCCAGATTTTCCTTTCCAGAGGGAGCACCCCTTCCTTCCATATGTGACAGCAGTTCATTTGCGGTAGATTGACCCCACTCCCAGCTCTAGGGATGGGCTCTGAGGATTAATTCCATCCGCAGCCTATGGAGCAGTCCAGAGTTTGGTCCACTCAGAGCCCCAGGATCGTGATGTTTGTTCAATAGATGATTTGGTTTCACCTTTGTCCTTGCTGGATGTGAATGAGGATGCAAAGCCAGCTGAGATCTTAGCCCACAAGCCAGCGAAGTCAGAGCCAGGGATCATAGGGCTTTGCTTGAATGATGCTTGAAGTTACACTTCCCCTTTTCAATCCCCTGCC